TAACCGAAACATTAATCCTTAAAACCGAATATTAGAATAATGAAACGAACAAATCTCAGCACCGTGTTAATCACTTGAACACAACTAGAATGGTTGGGATTGAATTTTGTCGCCTGCTGGTTTCACACAGGCCTTCAGAAGAGGAGAGATACCGTGCACGGTGGTACGTAAATGAGACGCGTCAGAATGATTTGTAATTAACTGTTGTGCCTTGCTGAGTAAAACTTTTGTAGGGTTCCAAGCTTGCTTTTTCCTGGGTTGCCATTTAAAGGCTGAACTGGGCTGAGCTCGGTGGGGATTCCTGAGAAGCATGTCTTCGTGAACCATAAACTCTGGAAATCCCTTTGCCCAGATTCTTTCCCTTACGGCTAAATGCTCTCTCCTACAGTGCGCTTCAAAAGTATGTGAACATATCAAGATCCAAGTCGAAAAGATAGCTAAGAGGCCTCGTGCTAAACCCTCTTCACTCGATCCCTCGTAGTCGATAACCTATCGGTTATTGCAAAATTCAAATGCGAAACAATTTCAAGAATTTTTTGCTCTCAAAACAAACAACTTTTATTTCACTTTTCTCCTCAGGTAATCTTAACTCATGGAAAGAGTTCGATCTTGACGGGCCGGGTGGATTTTGCTACTACTGGAGAGGCTTGGCCGTGAGTCGCTCGTGCTCTCGAGAAGGAATTTCGGAAGAGGCCCGTTGATGGGTCTGCGGCGGTTTCGCAATCAGCGGAAATTCAGAAGTTGCCGTTCCATTATTGCGTATGAACAGTGAGGAATACCAAGCAGTGCTCCAATGTCACCTGTTGCCTTTTTTTAGAGAAGCGGAGCGAAAATTGCATGTTTAGCAACAGGACCACGTGTCTTTCAATGCTTCGCAATCTACCAAAGAATGGCCTTAACCAAATGGTGCTGAAGCGATAGATTGGCTTGTGTGTCTCCTTACTGCAACCCTATAGGGAACCCTTGATCAAGGCGTTACTTTAGCAACCGGCAGTACAGACCGCGGATGAACTGAAGGCGGCATTAGAGGCTCCTTGGGCCGACTATCGCAAAGTTTCGGATTATGCCGAACAGTATGTTTGAGCTAATCAGAAATTCTGGAAACCCCACTGATTTTTGAACTCAGTTGTGTTTTTGTTTTTTGTTAAGTGTCCACATGTCTTGACGGATTTCTTCTGCTTTTTTCGTTGCTGGCGTACCATTGAGCACCACCACCGCCAGTCACAATAAAACCTTATTGAATTTATCGTAATCGCTGCCTTTTAAGCAATTCATGTTCTCATCAGCAGTGAGAGCTTCCAATTTTGCTTAGTTCGCTTATTATCTGTCACAACACCAGTCGGATAAAGTTTGAAGAAGTCTCCAACACAAATATAGCGTCACGATGCTTTCATACAGCTTGGATACGTGATATTGAGGCCTGAAGCTTTCATGTAAACATATTTTCTCCAGAGAACCTATATTGTAAGAACTAGGATTCCACACGCACTTTGCTAACGAAAGAGCTTCAAAGGAGTATTAAAATATTCAACTACTTACCTGGGAATATTGAGTACATCGCATTTTCCGTCAGTGAAATTTTGTCAAAATTCTCGAGTAAACATTGTTTCCGCTCGAATTGAAACTTTCTTCCATTCTCTGCGTGATAGTCGAACAGAACGCCTCGTGATCATCACTCGTTCAGCTCGTTGCCATTCAGTTAGCACATGATTCCGAGATGTTTAAGAAGTACAAATTGAGTGCACGAATTGATCCTCTTCAAAACTAACACCATCTTCTCGTGACGGGATTCCCAATTTGCAAACAGGATGTGAAATGGTTACAGAATCAAAGAAAAAACTTCAATTTAGCCTGCATCAATTTCTGCAATAGGTGTTTTTGAGCAAAAACATGAATAAATTCAAATTCTTCACCTGATTCATCACTAACACTGAATTACCAGAAAACAAACGCTTACTGCACACCGTCGGGCAGTGGTGGCGCAAGTCATTGTATGGTCCTAAATGATTCTAAAAAGAAGTGAAGTACAGGGCGCGAATGAGGAGCTCAACACCATATCATCATCTACTGCCGATTCTGTTATATTTCAGTTAATGTAGGATGGCGAGGAATGACTCTTCCCGTGCCTTTTTTTCCAAGAGAAAGTCGGTGTTTCAAGCTGATAATCGCTGGTTTTGAGAGGAAAAACAGACGTTTGTGGGTGTTCCATAAATTGTACACACTTTCTGCCGTGTAACTTCTCTCAAGGTGGTTCCTATTACAAACGACTATTTGCTTCAAACCGAAGCAGTTCAGCTCTCTTTCTAGCGGCTTTCCAAGGTGAGTTTTTGCTCAATCACACTTCACTTCTTCCCACTTGAGTAAGGCTTGCGCAACGTTTCACACCATCAGTGTTAGGTACAATTGGTACTGTTGATAAAAAGATCCCTGAATATCACGACCATGATAATGCTTCTTAGGTTTTTTCCCGCGCCGTAAATTTATGGCTGCGAGTTCACTCGAAACTGATCCCGCCAGGCGGCCTGCGTGGTCACAATGGCTACTGTCTTGTAGACTTTGCACCGGGTGAGTTCCTCCACGATATAAGTGCATTCTTTACATAGATACACGTGATCCACTTTGGTAAAACCAAGGAAAGGTCCGGCAGGTTGCGATCGAGGGGCAAGCGAGACATTTGTTGAAGGAAAGAAATTGAAGAGCATCACTAGGTCAGCTTCTGCAGCACGTTTCCGCCGTCTTTCACTAACAGAAAGCGCTATCTCTGTAAGGAGCCATGATCCTCCCTCAAAGAGGCTTTAGCGTACAAACCTGGCAACAAAAATTCTCTGAACATCCAGCGCACGATTGCCCGCATTGAGCTTTATCAATTCTTGCTCAGGGCACGGTAGAAGCAAGCTGAAATCCACAACGCCAATGTTCAAATACTATGGCATGGACTGGATGCTATGTCCGGAAAGGAACAATATTCTCTCGTTTCGGGTCCCTCACGAGTTCAAGTAGGCAACCTAGAAGCTCGACGGGTTTTTTAGCTTTCTTCCGAGATAAAAATTTTTCGTTCGTGAACGTGGTCACCAAATGGTCACCTTTCCCGAGACTTCCAAGAGGCTGCCCAGTTTGTCCTTCTGGAAACCTTTCCTGCGCCAAACAGGGGTGGTCAAAAAAAAGAGACACTTCGCCATGACGCACATCAATCGCAAACTTTCTGTCGCACGTCGAGGAATGCCGATTTAATGATAAGTTACAGCCGGAATATTCCCCTCGTCAAGCAGAAGCCAGGCCCCGCTCCTCTTCACTGCCCGGCCGGCTTCGATTATGAGTTATTTTACCGCTCACTGTTTGACTCCAAAGAATCTTATCGAAATCGCTCCTGGTCTGAATGCTGCCTACTACTTCCTCAGTGATTTTGTTAATTGTTGAATACTTGTAGATCTTTAATGTGAATAGCTTCCCAGAGACATTAGCTGTGACTATGCAAAACCGCTTTTGACCAGCGTTTCAGGGACGTCGTAATGGTCTATGGTACCTCGACGACCTCGTTGAGCTCGTACCGTGAACCATGTTTCCGTGGGAAAATCTTCTGATGTCGAGTGTAGAAGGCTGTCATGTAAGGTTTAGATAGATTAGAATGTGCTCTTTAATACTAAGTTGGGAGCAGTCGATTTGATTTTAGCAAAGTGTGATTAATGCTGTCTGGAATGTGGGGTGAAGTGTCTCTTTTTTTTTTGGCCACCCTCCTGGTACATATATTCTATATAGTTTTCGTTTCTTGTCGAACCCACTCTCCTATGGTGTTCTAGAAATTCCAGCTATTCATCAGCCATGTTACCTGTATGGATATAATTGAGTTCTTTCCATTACAGTGCTCCCCAAAGCCCCCCCCTTCGAAGTAGCCGAAATCAAGGTAGCCACAGCAAGGACGACCCTTCTACACTTCCTCTTTTCAGTGCAGGTAGACCGAGGTAAAAGCAGGTAACGGTCGATGCTTGATTGAGAGTGTATCGCCTCACTCAGAGGAAGGGTGGCAGCTCTATCAGGGTTCGGATGTATTGCGACGCTCTGGGAGTTGTAAGATTTGGGTTAGACGATGAAAAAGTGCACATATAAGTGTCACCACCTTTATCATGTACAGCTGACACAGAAAAGCCCTATGGACGTCGGAAGAACTTCGAAAAGGACCGACCATCTGGGCTTTTCCTTGGAATGCTGGAGAACCACCACCTGCGAACTCCGTATATAAGCGCCCGAGCCTGACACTCGTCCGATCGTCGTTTCATACATATTTTGGTGCTTTATATTTTATAGTGAAATCTATTTGCTCGTTTAATTACCCAAGTTTGAGGTAGAAGCATGTTCCGTACTGTGATCGGTCGCATTGCTGCAAAAGTGCTGCCGGACTGCAAGTATGTGCAGCTGGTGTTGCTCTCACCGACAAGAAGCTTTCCGAAAAGCCAGAATGGCACCGGGAGGATGTGCTCGCTCTAGAAGATTAGCTGAAGAAGCTTGGCCGTCATGGTTTCAATACTTCTCCATCAGCTGTGAACTACGAAACTTTAAAAAGTATTCCTTTCATCACTCAATTTCTAATGGTGAAGTTCACTGGCGAATGGCACTAGCACTTCTTGAGAAAATTTCACAAAGTGTCCAACTGAAAGGGCGCATCTAGCTTTTTAAGGCCGAGGACTGCGCAAAGAAGGCACTATCCTTTGAAGCCGAAAAGCCAAGCGCCGGAACACAAGTGACGGTACGATGCAAATCCGAAAGGAGCACATTAGGGGAAGTCATTTGCGGCCAAGATTCGTTTGTCATACCATGTTCACCGAACGCAACGGAATCATTGCTGCAGTCCAATCCAATACTAACTACTCTGTGATTGAGAGTCCTGGAATCTCAATGGTTTTTGCAATCCTACCTCGAGAAGGATAGAACTACCCCTTGATACTTCCACGGCGATGTGAAGCCACATATCAACTTGTTTAGATGTAACAAGACGCACTTCTGACATGATAATGCACCGTGCTCTTTGTTTATACCTCTATCTGCCCAACAGTAGACTTCGCTCGCGACCAACATTTTCTGTACTCTTTTATGCTGCCCTTTGAAAACTCCTACGAAGGTGGCTGCGGAGGAAAACACCCATATTTGCCATTATCGCGAAAAGATTTCTAATCGGAAAATCTAAGTGGCCTCCTGACTGGTGCACTGTTTTTTAGATCTTAAACTCGAGCTCTTTACAACTATTGCTAAAACTTAGACGGGGGGGGGGGGGGGGGGGGAAAGGGGGGGTTTTTGGGAAGACAGCACTTTCATCTCAGCTTCATCGTAATGTAACACTATTTTTAGAGTATGATCTCGAGACAAGAACGCCTCAGCCTGGGTACCGACGCCCATCCTTGGCCTTCCCCACTCCCGTACCGAAGACCTCTATGCAATGCCCCATTAGACAGTTCTGATGCCTCGGCAAAATCCGTCGACAGCCTGAGCCTTGGGTACTGTTCGATGAGGCCTCGCACATCCATTGGCAGAACGTTACGTTCATATCGATAGCAAAAAGGGTCAGGCTCGGAGCTTTTCCTCATACATCCACAACTCGCTTCTTAATCTGGTCTCTTTCCAATATAAATTGCAACGGAATAAGGGACCTGAAGTTTGAGAATAGATTCAACAAGACCACAAGAAACGATGACGGAAACCCATGCCATCACTGGCAACGCTGGAACACTATAACTTAACAAACCTGCATCCTGAATGATCAATTCGCCAACTTACGGGAATACGGGGATACACTCAAGCAAGCTCGGAATCGGCAAAACACCGCATCGACGACGATCGACAACCAAGTAGACAACCCGAGGTGATTTGGAATAGCGTGCAATCTACGGACAGATACATAAATTCTATGCAACCACATAAGAATGACTCGTGGATATCGAGGAGGACGCCAGATGACAACGAGCGTGCCGCCTAATTCGCAATAAAAAAGCAAAGAACATGTCCACGAAATAACGCTGAATTCGTACGAAGAGCAAGGGAATGGCCCCGACGGAAGAAGGCGAAATACGCAAATGATGCGCAGGACGTTGGAGCCTCGACGACCAGTCCAGCAAGCTTCGTGACGAGATAGCCGACTTGCGGCAGCAACTACGACAAGCAAGACAAGCAATGCTAGACTTCCGAATGATGATCAACGAACTAGAAAATAGATGTCCAACTCGAACATTCGAACGAAGAATCCAGAGCCTGTGAGCACGAGGGATCATAATTTCTGATTTTGTTAGTTACATTTCGAAAGCAGAACGCGTAAATTAACTCACTATGCCTTTGGCTTCGTCTACAACGTCTAAAAGTGACGACGAGAAGTTGTAGCACACTTCCGCCTTAATACCCTACAGAAGAAGAACGGCGAATCGATGACTAGAGCTACTATAAAGCCGACGTTACGTCGACGCCTTCATCCGTGTTCACAGTTGGAGGAAATCCGAAGAGCGGAGTGCTATTTATTTGATCCAACAAGCATGTGTGGCCGAATATCGCGGCATCGCGCGAGTGCAGATCTTGGCAAGACG